TTTGTTAAGGATGGGGTGTTGCAGTTAGAGTTGCTCTGTTCTCCTTTAATGGCAGACTGCTACAGATTAACTTTCCTCAACTCCTATATTTTCAGTGACATAGAATGTTATAAATTGCTTCCAATAAACAGGAAGGAAAGGGGCACCTGGGTGGCTCAGCCAGTTAAGTCACAGACTTTGGATCAGGTCATGATGTCAAGCCCAGCATTGGACTCTGTGCTGACAGCTCAGAGCCTGGACCCTGCTTCAGATTCTGTCTTCCTCTTTCTCTGCCCCTCCCCTATGCATGCTCTGTCTGTCTCTCTCTCAAAAATAAATAAACATAAAGAAAAAACTTTTTTTTAAAAACAGGGAGGAAAGTCAAAACTATTTTCTAGAAGCTTCTCATCCCCCCCATTCTTTTGAACTCTCCTCTGTAATTTAAGTGAGGGGCACCTGGGTGGCTCAGTTGGTGAAACGTCTAACTTTGGCTCGGGTCATGATCTCACAGTTCCTTAGTTCAAGCCCTACATCGGGCTCTGCCCTGACAGTGCAAAGCCTGCTTCAGATTTTTCTATCCTCTGTGTCTCTGTCTCTGTCTCTGTCTCTCCTCTCTCTATGCCCCTTCCCCACTCATGCTCTCTCACTCTCTCTTTTTAAAAAATTAAAAATAAAATCTAAGTGAATAAATGTGATTTGAATGTTCTAATTCTTTTTAGTTACTGAGGTAACTTTTTAAGAAGTTAAACCTTTTCTCAGTTTAAAGCATAACATGTACTTGATCAGCTCTCAACAAAACAAACCTTTTCTGTAGAAGGTGAAATAGGGTTATTTGTCTTTCCACTAACACTTGCAATGCTTATTAATTGCAGCCTTCTCTAGTCATCCCCATCTCTCTCTTCCTTTTGCTTGGTCTTTACAACACAACTCCACCATTCAAGGTTAATGATCAAATGTGTTTTAAGTCTCTAAAAAAGAGGATGTTGATCTTTTTTTCTAAAACAAAACAAAAATGATCCTCTCTTATTATAAAGATGTTTATAATCTTATTATAAAGATTAATTATATTAATTAAAAATAATATAATTTTTATTATAAAAAATAATAAAATTATTTTTTATTCAGTAATTCCATTGATTATGAATAGTTTACCATGTAGCATGTACATGAAATATACATATTAAAACTTGAATTAAATAAATTACTGATAAAATAAGAAACATATAAGCTTTTCCCATAACAAAAATCTTACCACACAGAAAGAATAATATTGCTATCAAAATTACTATTTTTCCATCATTTTCATATCTAAAACTGAATGGAGGGGCGCCTGGGTGGCTTAGCCAGTTAAGCGTCCAACTTTCGCTTAGGTCATGATCTCGCGGTTCGTGGGTTCGAGCCCCGCATCAGGTTCTGTGCTGACTGCCAGCTCAGAGCCTGGAACCTGTTTCAGTCTGTGACTCCCTCTCTCTCTGACCCTCCCCTGTTCACGCTGTCTCTCTCTCTCTCTCTTTCCTAGAAAAAAAAAAATTAAAAAAAAAATAAATAAAAATAAAACTGAATGGAAGTCATCATTAAAGGTAGTCAGTGATCAAAATGATCCACAATATAATATTGGTAGTGTATGTAAAAATGACTATAAACAATAAATGAACTATAATGTTATGGTAGGATAACTACAATGGCATCCTTGGCTAATATTGGAAAACCTTAGTTTAGTCAAACTTTTAAAAAAGGGGGAAGTATATCCTTAAGCATAAATATAAATTATTAAAGGCAGTTTTAGTAAATTATTAACTTTATTTTGCCATCAGTACTTTGAAAATGGAGTAGTTACTGATAATCACATCAATCCTTTTGTCTCAATATTAGTGGTTTATATAGAAACGGATATAAAGAAAAGTTTCTCAGAAAGATGGAATTGTTCATTGTTCTGTCGGATATGTAAAAACAATGCTGACTCAAAAGCAGCCAAGTGGACAGCTGCAGATGCTGTACCCAATGGAAATACCAAGCAGGCATAGCACAAATCAATAATTAACAAAGCAGATGCACAAAGCTTGATGAGGATGAATAATTGCATAGGCAGGAATGGTAAAAGGAGCTGATAACAGTGCTAGTTTTGTAAGAAATTAGATAAACTCTCTGTATTCACAAATTTGTTAGTATGAGTACTTCAATGCCTAATGGTACACAAAGAATATCTTTTCAGAATGCTTTGATTAAATTGATATGCACTTTTAATAAGACTTATCACTAACGGTATTTAGAAATCAGAATTATCCACAAGAAAATATTGGTAGGGTGAACATAAAAATAATTTTAAAAGTAAAGAATAAAAAAATATTCTAGGTGTGCTAACTACAAAGGTATCATCAAATTGTTTATTTCTGGGAATGTTTAAGTTCAGTGGAATGTTGAAGGAGGAGGTATACCTTTAGTGTACATCCTTTTCTAACTTTGTGTGTGTGCGCGCATGCGCGCAAGCCCTTTCTTGTCAGTAAGTTTCTTGAGTGTATCATTTTTATAATGTAGTCTAAAAGCACTAAGCTCAATGCTTTATATATAAATAAGTACCTGTGGGATGAATAATATAATACATCTTGTTTTCTTCAAAATATAATGAATATGGACAATATGATTAAACATGCTTTAGTAAAAGCATTCAGAGTAAATTCTTTACATAGACGCTGAATATATGACTTAGAATCATTTTTAGGGAGTCTTTATGTTTTTGAGAAATAAAAGTTCTTAAATTGCAGTGACTTTAAAAACTAGAAATTTTCAGCAATAATAGATGCATTTTATAGCAAACTTGGAAAGGAGGTGTCAGAGTTTTAGGTGTATAAGGAAGGTACTTAAGGTTCATTTACAGCCTTTTTCCTTGAGACATACGTTGCAAGAATAACTGTCCGTATGAATGCAAGGATTCCTTGCTCAAAACTGTATCAAGTGCTTTTAAACTGAAGATTCACTCTTTTTTTTTACTGTTTAGTTATTTCTGAAGCAGAGGGGAGAGGCAATCCCAAATAGGCTCTGCACTGTCAGCACAGAGCCCAATGTGGGGCTTGATCTTACAATCTGTGAAATATTGACCCGAGCCAAAATCAAGAGTCAGTCGCTTAACCAACTGAGCCACCCAGGCACCCCTGAAGATGTGTTCTTTATCTAGATGTCCATTTTATATCATTCTATTTTGTTTGAGTTGTCATTAAAAATGCATAATTTGTACTGTCTACTTATTCATTGATTTACAAATATTTATTGAATATCTAGTCTGTTCCAGGTACTATTCCAGATGCTGGGAATATAGCAGTGAAGCAGCAAAAAACACTGCATTTACGGAAATTTTATTCTAGGGGTGTGGAGACAGACAATGGAGATAAATCAATGAACTATGCAATAAGTTAGTGTTCCGTACTAAGGGGAAAAAATAAAGCAGAGAAGTAAGGTAGAAAACCTGAGAAAGAAGTGGAATTTTAAATTGAGTGGCCAGCAAGAAGTGACATTTGGATTAAGTCCTGAAGGAAGTGAAGGAGCTAGTCTTTTGGCTGTTTGGGAAAAGAACATTCCAGGCAGGGGAAATCCCAAGTTACCAAAGCCTTGAAGTGAAACAGTGCTTGGCATAGTTGAGAAATATCAAGGAGGCCAGTGTGTCTGGACAAGACCAGCGGGGAGTGTGGTGGGACATGAGATGAAAGAGATGACAGGAGGCTAGGTCATAAAATACCTCATAGGTAAGAAGGGGAGCCATTGAAGTGTTCTGCACAGAGTAGTGACATCTGACTGTTTTACAGGATCACACTGGCCACTGAAGAGGGCAAGGTGGAAATAATGGAGATCATTTATAGTTATAGCTATAATCCAACAAGAGATGGTGGTGGCTTGAACCAGAATGGTGGCAGTGGATATAGTGAGAAATGGCTGGATTCGGGATATGTTTTGAAGACAGTATTCACAGGATTTTCAGACAGAATAGAATGTGAGGTTATCTACTGTTTGTGATACAGTTAAAATTTCCACTATTCACTTCTAATTGTTAAAAAACACAAATTCTCACAGGTTCTATCTCATTCCTAGAGTATGATGTTAACATAACTTTTCTTTTGTTTCTGGATTTGAAAGCACATTTCAACTATTTGTGTCCTCTCTCAATCTTGAGGAAGGGTAAAGAGAAAATGTGGAAAATGTGGCTCAGAAATTTGAAAGTGCCAACACTATCCTATGAGCTCCTCCTAGGCTGTAAGCTCCATGAGACTCGTCATTGACCTTCTGGCCTTCAGGCCTGTCTCAGAACATCGCACAGATCAGTTTCTCAAAAAATGTTGAATGGTATACTCTCTACATTTCCCAAGGAGTAACAAAGTGAAAGACAACATCCAGCCGTATAAATTGCACAATCATAAATTAAAATTTGTGTTTTTAGTATTAAGGATATTATGCTGGGATACCCAACTTGTAAATGTGTTTGAGTTTACGCAAAATACTGAACACCCTTCAATCTCAAGTTGTTTTAGCTTTTCCGAACCTTTTAACTAAAGGGCGGAGGAGCCTGGCTTTGCAATACACAGCTGGGCTGTCATATTACACCGCCTCTCTGTTGTGAAGCTACCGGCAGCATTAAGCCCTCTTGAACAGGGCACAAACGTCTAGTCTATGAGAATAATCAGACAAAACGCGTGTATACCAGTAGCCCAGAGACCCAAGCCTGTCCCGGGGCTTAGCCCACAAATCTCTGGGGCCGCGGGCCTGCGCACTGCTCGCCGGGAGCTGTAGTTTCCCTCCCTCCTCTCTTTTCCTGTGAGCTTGGCCGCCGTCGCGCCAGCGCCCCAAGCGGTGGGCAAGCTCTGCGGAGCGCGGCGTACGCCGCGGCGCGGAGCGTTTCCTAGCAACGGGGGAGCGGCAACGTCACGGCGGCGGGTTCCTAGCGCAGCTGCCCCCGGTAGAGCCGCTGTGTGTGTGTACCTTCCAGCACCTGCGGTGTGGAGGGAGCGCGTCTCCCAGCCCTGTGCGCACGTCTTCGTCCGTCCTTGTCCGCTTTACCTTTCCCCAGGTAGCGGAGAGCAGCCCGCCGCCGCGACCCGGCGTCTGAGGCTCGAGCCTCGAGGCAGTCCGGCCGGTTCTCGCCGGCCGTCGCCCCCTTCGCCCCTGGAGCCGGCCAGCCGCCCGCGGCCTCGGCGGGACGATGCTGGAGTCCATTCGCGTGACGGGTGAGTGCTGGGAAGGGCTGGCCCGTGGGCTGGCGGGGGCGGACGGCGTCCTCGCGGCCGCAGGCGACGGGCGTGAGGCGACTCGGGGCCCCAGTCGCCCCGGAGGCCGAGGAAACGGCTTGAGTGGGCTCCGCGCGCGGCGGGGGCGCCCAGAGCAAGTGCGCGGCGCGCAGGAGGTGCTCAGGAAATTGCGCGGAGGGAAGACAGAAAAACGGTCCCTTTTCCTTTTGTCGCTTATTATCAGTAAACACGTGCCATGGAATCTAGGGAAGTAAATCATAATCGACAGATGACCGGTCCTACGAATGTGCGCTCTACATACTCCATTTCAAAGCGTATTAGCTGTGTAGTTAGGCATTTTAGTGTACTGGCGTCTAATTTTCTAGAATGTTCAGAAAAATCTGAGCTAAGCAAAAGAATACATTCCAGTGTATGCGTATACGGTGTCTATTTCTCTCTGATTTTTTTTCCTGTGCTTTTTAAATCCGTGAGAACGTTTTGGATTGATAGTATTAATAGGTCACTTTATGGTGTGTAGTATTCTCAGCAGAAGAAATCGGTGTTCATACCCCAGGTCAGAAAATTTACTTGCCTTTTATGTTATTTAAAAAATAGGTTTGATGTTAACCATTTGAATATTAGCTTACGTATTAGAAGCCTTCCCTAGGCCATTTCTGTATAACATTTCTGCAAGAAAGGGTTTGTGGTAGTCCAGGATCATGACGAACAACAACAGCAAAGGGAAATGCTTAATCTGCAAACTAGGGTCAAAATAAAGCCAGAATTTTTTTTAGTTTCTGTCATTGCAGTACCAAACAGACTATTTCTATCATTTTTTAAATTCTAAAACTGAATTCCTTTCCAGTGAAAATGCTTGTGGTCTTAATTTTATGCTGTTTTCTTTCCCGTTTCATGTTATAAAACATGGAGCTGATTTTGTACTTTATCTCATTGATATTTGTGTTGACAGGAAACATAAGAGTTACAGGAAGCAAACCTAAATTGGCATTCGTTTTTTAAATGTAATTTGATGCAGGTACTATTTTTTTCATTTTAAAATACAGTGAAAAATTTGAAAGTTACTTAAAAATACCATACCTTCTTTTTGTGAGCGGGTACTAGATAGCTCCCCCTCCCCCCACCGCCCCTACACTCGGTTGTGACAACAAAAATGCCACCTGACATTGTCAAGTGTTCCCTGCAGGGCAAAATTACCCCTCCCCCCCATTCCTGTTGAAAACCACTGCCTTGCAGAAAAATATAGTTTGAATTTGCCAAAGCCAAGGTTATTAGATAACGATTTAGAAATAATATCCATTATGATAATTTCTCCCAAAGCAAACAATCACTTTAGAGAGAGCATAGCATTATGATAATATTAGTATCAGAAAGTGGTTTTTCTGGCCAACCAAGTGGATCTCCTGCTTTTCACTATGCAGAGTTCGAAGTTTGAGGAGAGATACTTTATGAAATAGACTCATTTATCTTGTCTCACCTCCCTTTCTGTGATTTAGTGGCAAAAATCAATCCAACTGTACATGTTGCATACCCTGAGATAGATAATTTTGCAGTGAATATCTATAGTTCAACAGCCATTTGAGAATTAGAGCATCAAATTTACATCCCCTTTAGAAATAATTGAGTTGTTTTTCAAAAGAGTTTTTAAAAATTTTTTAAAGCTTATTTATTTTAAGAGAGAGAGAATGAATCCCAAGCAGGCTGCACAGCACTAGTGCAGAGCTCAACACAGAGCTCGAACTCACAACTTGTGAGATCATGACCTGAGCTGAAATCTGAAGTCACTCAGGAGCCTCTCAAAATAGTTTTTATATAGAACTTGGCCAGTTAAAATAATAGTTCCAGAACTCTAATGCAACCATTTTCACTAACATATCAGAAAGCCCAATTGGGACAGCTAGAAACTTTATGAAGAGTATGTAGCTGAAGATATGCCCCCCTTTTCCCTTACTGCCCTCTCACTACTTTTTGATATCTAAGAAGCCGTCTTCTTCTGGTGGTTTTTAATCTCAGGACAGAAGCAATTACTTAAATATTTCTGAAATCTTTTCCTATTTAATAACATACTTTTGACTTATTAGTCGTGATTTAATATAATTAAATATAACATTCTGGTAAAACTGCTGACTGGAGGAACAATATAAGAAAGATATCTATGCTGTATATGCTGTTTGAAATGGAATCAAATCAAAAAAAGGGGTGTTTTTTTTTTTGCCTGCTTATAGCTTTTTAAATATAGTTTATTATACTAAAGCTACTAAAATGTTGATACTGGAATATAGAAGTAATTACTGTTAAATTTACCTTGGAAATCCAAATGTAATGATTCTAAATATTTTCCCATTTGCAGTATTCCATGGAGTATTTCTGTAGGAGCTGACTTTAATATTGAATATAATAACCATACTGATAGTTAACACAGGCTGCTTATTACAGTTTGGCACTGTTCTTAGCACTTCATATATATTACCATTTTCAACCTTCATACCAGTACTGTGAAATATGTATTATTATCCCACTTACAGAAATGGAAACTACAGCACAAAGAAGTTAACTTGGTCAAGGTCACAACTAATAAGCAGCCAAGATTCAAAGTGAATAAGCTCCATTCCAAAGTCCATGTTTTCAACCACTAGGAAAGGCAGGACACTACTACAATGCCTCTATGTTGATTTAAGCCACAAAGTTCAACATGAAGATCTCATTTAACATCAGTGGTGCATTATCTGATAGTTAAGTCAAGATGATGCTTTTTAAGTTTTTATCACAGGCAAATCTGCAAATAATTTTTGCCTGGAAAGAGTGTATTTTACTTGAGTATAAAATTGTTTTCAAAATAGAAGACATCTAGCTCATTCAGTGAGTAATAGAAAACTGTTAGAAGCCTTATAAGAATATGTTAATTTATGATTTCCTACTCCCCATATTTTATATGGTATATAAGAAGTGATGCAGTCCTCTGGAAATGAACCTCCTTTCTAACAAAAGTGAGTGTTTACAAATACTGGAGACAAAAGTTTTCTTAAGACCAGTGTTCGGCCATATGAGATGAATACACTTAGGCACATAACTCCTGTTTGTCCTATAGCAGTAGGCACCTGCCATTAAAACTTGTCTTCAACATCACTAATTGTTTCTTTTTTTAAAAAAAAAAATGCGATCCTGGTATGATTTTTTTTTCCCCCTCAACCTTCAGGCATTCATATCCTGTATCCTTTCTTTCCTCTCAAATATTGGCTACCTCTCTGGCCATCCTTTCATGAGCCATCCTCAGTGAATGAGCAAAAACAAACACAGATGTATACCATAATAGAACTTGTAATTTCCGTGTTGGAGGAGGTCTTCATGCAAACAGATGTATAACTACAACTGTGACAAGTGCTTCAAAGAACCTTCCAGGGGAGATTTCTTGAGCAAGTGGTATTTGAACTGAAGGATGAGTGGGAATTAATCTGATGGGAAGAAGCGCTCTCCAAACATAGGGGACGGTGTATGAAGAGGTGTTGTGTCTGAAGAGAGGATGGTGAGTGTGAGGGATTGACAGAATGAAAAGAAGCTAGAGTGGACTGAGTAAGGGCAACATTGTGCAAGGAGGCCAGAGAGGCAGAGTGGGTGACCTGACCGTAAGTGACCTCATATGCCATGGTTAAGAGTTTTGTCTTCATCTTATGGAAAGCCATGGGGAAGTTTGTTTTGTAGCACATTCACTGTTGTTTCAGATGGTGTTTAAAGCTGTTTCTTTTACTACAACCACCATTAACTGGCATTATAGAATACCCTGCATATTTCTAACTAAAATAATAACACACGATGATTGAGCGAAATAAGTCAGGCAGAGAAGGACAAATATCATATGTTTGCACGTATAGGAGGATTAGGAGGAACTTGACGGAGGAACAAGGGGGAGAAGAAGGGCGGAAATGGTGGGGGAAAGGGAGAGAGGCAAACCATGAGAGACTCTTGAATGCTGACAAAAACTGAGGACTGATGGATGTGGGGGGGAGGGGGGGATGGGCATGGAGGAGGGCACTTTGGGGATGAGCACTGAGTGTTATGTAGAAACTAATTTGACAATCAACTATTTGTAAAAAAAAAAAAATAACACACAATGATTTCTGACCAAAAATGATAGCATCACATTATAAGGAATCATTGTTACTAGTTGAGTAACACTGAAGTACTCATAACTAGGATTCTGACATTTTTGGGAATCCTGAAGTTAAGTCAGCTTTCTCAGTTCCTGAATGACATGAGCAGTGCCTTTTTATCTCTCTCTCTCTTTTCTTTATTTATTTCTTTCTGAAAGAGAGAGAGAGAGACAGCATGAGCAGGGGAGGATCAGAGAGAGAGGGAGATACAGAATCTGAAGCAGGCTCCAGGCTTATCTCTCTCTCTTTTTAACTTACAGTCAAGAAACTATATGGGGTTCCGTTGAATTCAGAGATGTTAAAAACAGTAGATTATGTGTTACAATACAAATTGGGCAATAAGTGTGTCTTCAAAGATTCTGATGTTTTCACATATCTTTTAAAAGATTAAGGTGTAGGGCTCTTGGGTAGTTCAGTTGGTTAAGTGTTCATCTCTTGATCTTGGCTCAGGTCATGATCTCCCAGTTTGTGAGTTTGAGCTCCACGTTGGGCTTGGGATTCTTTCTCTCCCTGTCTCTCTGCTCCCTAGCCTTCCAAAAAAGATTAAGGTGTAACTTACATTCAGTAAAGTGCACAAGTCTTAAATATGTAGCCCAATGAATTTGTGCATATGTAACCACTGCCCAGAAGAAGAGAACATTTCTAGTACCCTGTATGGTACCATGGTGCCTCTTCCTAGTTTATAACCCATCTGTCAGTGGTAGCCACTATTCTAACACCATATATTAGCTTTGTCTGTTTTTGAACTATGTAAAAATGGAATTATACAGTATATACTCTTTTGACCTGGCTTCGTTTGCACAGTATTGTCTGTGAGGTGCACTGTATTGTTGTTTGCACCCTCAGCTGCTTTTCCATTGCAGTGTAGTGTTCTGTTATACAAGTTACCATAATGTATTCATTTTTTCTGCTTATACCATTTGAGTTTTAAGTGATGAAGAACTACTTGATAAAGTGTTTATCTTGTTTGGGGACTATACTGTTTTGTTTTGTCTTTTCTTTTGTTAGTAATCAATCTGTTGTCTTGTTATGTAAGATTATCCCATGTTCCTAGGTTTCATAAATATTAGTGAACTGTACGAAATTGCCATTTTGTGGGTCAAAATGGGTCGAATGGTATTTTCCACCAGCCTTTGTTTCTGGTGATCTAATCTGTCTTTCAGCCAGGGACCTCATAATTACTGTGAAACTTCACCTCTTCACAGTTGTGAAAAACAAAGTTTAGTGAGAACCTCTCTCTCTCATTCCTTTAGATGAGGAACATGAGGCATCGATGGGTTTAATGATAAGGCTAATATTACAGAGAGGTCATTGAAAGAGCTGAGGATGGAAGCCAGGAATCCTGGTATCCTTTTCACCTGTTCTAGAAACAAATTAAGCTTTCATTGTGTTGGTAATTTCAGTATATCCACCTGAGTATCAATTTTAATGTATTATTATTTCCCCCTTCCCCCCCTCAATATGGGTAATCAGATGGTATATGAATGATTCCTTTGATCAACAAATTATTTTTATTTACTCTTAAATTTTAGTGAAAATTACTGATGGCTAAAACATCACATTACATAGTGACTTTTAATATGAGAAAGTAGGACTGATTACCTTATTACTTTTCCGAGGGAAAATGAGTATACTTCCCCCAAAAGAAATCTATGTATGCATTTTAAAAGTTTAGTTTTTCAGGGAAAAGAAAGAGAAGATGATGTTCTTCAATGAAATCTTACTGGTCTCTCATGTTTTTATTCATGTTTAAAAGTCATTTTTAAAGTAAGCAATAATAATTAAAACTTCAAAAAACAGTACTTTAGGTTCTCTAATAGTACACTTTAATACAAATGAAATAAGATCAGTGTGACTCTGAGAAATTAATTTTATTTGTCATGAGTTGTTTCATCTCCTGCCCTACTTTTATGAATTTCATGGGATAGTCAGCATTTGGCAGGATTGGTATTTTACTAAATAAATATACCATTGGCACTCCCAAACCTTACTCATCAGCACATGGAGCTTAAAAAAGACCGGGGCTAATCCTCTCAGGTAGATAATTAGCAAGTGAGCTGAAGTGCTACAACTCCTAGGGGAAAGGGTACTGTCCTGCACACTCTGTCACCACTCTCCCAACCCCAGTCCCCATTGAACATTTTGGCAGATGGTTTAGAACTTTTGTTAAGTATCCTGAAGGTGTATAGATTGTTTGAGTTGAAACAGAATTCTGAATTTAGAGGTCACTGATGCCTTATGACAGAACAAAAGAACTCTGAGTTCAGCTCTGTAGTCAGAGAGCTACTATGCTTTAGGAAGCAAAGAAAGCATTTTAAAATTGAATATTCATTTTTCAAAAAATGATCTCAACACAACATGAATATTCATTTTTCAAAAAATATACTCAACACATCTGTAATAAACCATCAAAATTAGGATTTCTTCAGAATAGTTTTATTCTCTGATTTTAATTTGATGTAACTTTCTCCCTTTTTATTATGAAGACCAAATGAGAAAAGAACATGATTACCTCCCTTTCCCTTACTGGCTGTTCTTGCTTCTCACCTGACTTTTCTGTTTGTGATACCCTATTCTTATCGCAGTTTTTTTTGTTTGTTTGTTTGTTTGCTCTTTCCCTTTTTAGTATCCATTTAAGTCTTTCTTTCCTAATCACCTCTTGTCTCATAAACTTGTGATTTTTTTTAGGGAAACTGACATTGTTCTTGGGTATTTAGGCTACAGCCTGTGCTCTGGTGTTCCTTAGCCTATGTGTGCCTAGCCTGCCCAGTTTGGGCTATCAGTTGGCAACATTTAAGTCTGAAACCCCTGAGGAACTGAGACTTACCAGCCTGTAATGAAAGTTGTGTTTGTTCGTTTATTTTTTGCTGTTTTTTTCCATTTATTGAATGGCTTCTTTGTGCAGTCAACCTTCAACATGACCCTGTGTCTAGCTTCTACTTCACATCTTCTACATAGAGTAGACATTTAGTCTCTGCGTATTTATGTGTTTATGTTATCTTTAAGACACCAGAATTCAAATTTCACATATCGACCTAGAAAATGTTAACTAGAAGAAGTATTACGTACCTTACGTATTTGGATTATTATCCATTTTTGACCTGGTACCTTACCAAATCTTTGCCCTACAATCTATGACTTCTAAGCTTTAAAAATTTATATTTAGGGCAGAATTTCTTTACCACGGCACTACTTTAGGACGGATTTGTTCGTGTAGGAGGCTATCCTATGCATTGAAGGATATTTCCCATCATACTTGGCCTCTACCCACAAGATGCCAGTAGTACCCCTCCCTTGTTGTGACAACCAAAATGTCTCCACACACTGCCGTACACCTCCTCGGGAGCAAAATTGCCTCTGGTTGAGATCCACTGTTTCAGGATTTTCCCTGTTATATTTCTACTTCTGCCGTGATTTCATAATTTCATATAACTGTAGAATGGTCCCAGAACTACAAATATCTGTGTATCTAGAATGGTTGGAGAATGACATGTTTCGGGTTGTGCCATTCATTCATGCATTCATTCATTCAGCATACACTTACTGAATGTCTGCCAGATTATGCCAGATGTTAGAAAGGAAGAGATGAACAAAACACACTTCTGGTACCTATCTTAGTACATCAGTTACTCAGATTACCATGCCTTATAAGGGTCTGCGTCTGTACAGAGAAAGAAAAGGTACAGTGCTGTGCATATAGCAGACCTAATGTTGAATAGCTATTGATAATTGAATGGCCATATATAATGTAACAAGCCTGGACTTAGAATTACATATACCTGCATTCAAATCATTTTGCTGTTTGTTTATTGTAATATAACCTTAATCAAATTATTTAATATTTCTGAGAATTAAGTGATATGACATGTATAGTTTTCTCTGAAATCCCAAACTCACATAAATGTGTCAACAAATGGTACCTGCCATTATTGTTGTTATTATGTATTACTACTTATTATAGAAAGGATCCCTGAATGTCAAACCTTGAATGAGTGAATGACAGATGTATATGAATGAAGTTTTCAAAAAATTGAAATAAAATAAATTGTGTCTTGGCAAGGCAGACAGCTTTTCAAGTTGGCTAGTTGAAATTGCTTCCATAGTAGGAGCCAAAAGTTGGGGCTAGAGGCATTAGGGTCCATAAGACTTGGAAAAGAGAATTGAGAGAATGGGATGTTACTTGAAGAAAGGACTTAAGGAAGGTTAGTATGCACGCTTGGCCAGAGATCATATTTGTAGATAGGACTTCAGCTGGAATCTAGTTCTGATAAGTAGGATTTAAGACAAATTCAAATACTTTGTCAGTTTGGAATTGAATCTGAAAGTTCTTAAGGGTCTAGCTGAAATCTCCTATTTCTCTTCACTGTACTTGCTCCCTACTCTGAACTCTAGGTTATTGTCTATATTTTCTGTTTTTCACAGTTAAACTTACGCTGTTTTGTATTACTATTCAAATCTTCATAGGCTTGCCTTGCCTTCAGAGCTACACTGGAAGCCGGTTGAAGGCAGGGACAGTGGATTTATAAAGATGTTTCTTATAGCCACATACCTAATTCGTAGTGTCCCATATATTTGTGGAATGAAACACTGCAGGTCAACAGTTTTAAAGCAGAACATAAGCATCAGTATATCAGGTGATTTGTACCTCTTTTAGCACAGTGAAATCTAAAGGCAAAGCTGACCTCTCCTTGGTTTAGCATTTGATATTCTTATGTCTATGTAATAATAGTTATAATTTTTTTCAGACTTGACATGGCAAGAAAAAAACTTAATTTTCGTTTAACCTGTAGCCAAGAATTAAGAAAGTCACACACACACAATTGTGTGACATGAAAACATGCTTTAGCATACACATATCATTAATTTAAAAAATTGTTTCTGAGATAAATAAGGTAGTGTTGTCCTTCTTTTCCTGATGGTTTTCTTTATTTGTAGCATCTGATTTCAAGATTATATTGGCCTTGAAATGCCTTGGATTTTACTTTGATAATGGTAATACTATTGAAAATTATATACTTTCTGTGAAATTATAGTCATTGGTAGAGTTGAATGTTCAGATTATTTATGTGTATTATCTCACATTGATGTTGAACTTTGATCGTCTTAATGGCTTCAATCTGAAAATTTCAAAATTTAGCATATATATGTTTATATAGAAGTGACAGTGTCTAGCGTGACTGAAGTTTAGTAATATATATGGTTTTTAACATTTAAAATGTCTTTTCTAAAGAACGTTGCAAAATTATAAGGTTTACAGAACCTTCAGAATACTTTTTGTATAATAAGCAATTTGCTTCATCTGGTATCTCTGTTATTTCTTTTGTTTTGATTTTGTTTATTAACACAGAAAAGCTTCACTGGCCTGAGCAAGAACTTGCTAAGAAGTCTGTTCTAAATGCAGAAGAGTCATTGATCACTGACAGCAAAAGAAGCATTTCACATTTATCTACTGGAATACTAAAGGACATTTTCACAACTGGAACCAGTAGTTACAATGTTCTACTACAGAGCAAAGAGGAGAAAAAGCATCATTCACAAAAACAGTCTTCCTCCACCTACTCCAAAAGATGTAGAAAGCCCAGCAAATCTCCTAGTTCTTCTCGTAGTAAAGATCTTCGCAAGATGAAGGCCCCAGTGCCTGTGATGAGCAGTGGTACCTGGTACTGCCTAGAAAGGCAGCCTGGTGTTTTTGTCAGTAGTTCAGTGTCGAGTCCTATAAAGTTTACACATGATATCTCTGTTACAGGGAACAGCATAGTACTGCCACCTAAGCCCAAAAACAAGGTAAAGCGACGCCATTTCTCCACTCTGCCAAAGGCAAAGCCACAGCCTCAGTTGTCTAGAAGTTTTGAAAAAGGAGATGACTTTTCTGGGAAGAAATTTTGTATACTGACTGCTATAAAGCCCACCAACTTAGAGAAAGAAAAACTGAGATTTTTCAAGTCTGACTATACCTACAATCCTCAGTTTGAATATGCAAACCCATCTCTGCCAAGCGTGTTGGCCAAACACAGCAATGCATCTGACCGATTTCTTAAACAGGTAAAACGCTACTTCAGTAGTGGTATTTCAGTTTTATGTAACTAGAGCAATTGTTTACAATCTTAAAAACGAAGAGAAAAAAAAGACTTTAAAAACATTCCAGTTATTTATATGTTACAGTTAATTCCCATTCAGGACATGTAAATATGTGACAGGAAATCTCCAGGTGAGTGCCATAGCCTATATGTAAACTACTGTGGACTAGTCAGAATCTATGAAGAATCTGTTAGATAGACTTTGTGGCAGGAAGCAACTGTATTTGGAAAAAGCTTAAGATTCTGGTTCCAGGCTTTCATTTTGGAGTTACAGACTCCCCACAGACCAGTGTTATGTAGCTCACACTGTGTTTGCATTTTCCATTGATTTTGAGGGCCTTCAGTACATCATACAGTCTTTGGTTCCCCTGTTCTATTACATTCCCATCTTTTTTTAGGCTCCATAGGCATTTTGGAGAGCTAGGCTTGATACCTGGCCCATGAACTTTTTAATGCTTTATTGAATTGTTAACCATCAAATGTTTTAGCACTAATTTGAAGAAGAAACAGTGGAGTTTTAACAATTATCTTCAAGGTTAGCAGTTCATGATGTGAAGGATATGAGTAACATTTTTGATATTGCTCAATTTAGACATGTGTCAATTAGTTTTGTTTGTTATGGGGCTTAATAAACTTTGAAATCCTTAAATTTTAAGGAGAAATTGGCTGATGTTTATCTGAATGGCATTAAGTGATGATAAAGGCAGACTAAATTTTGTTAAATTAACTTTCTACACGTTTTTATAATACATGAAGTTCAACTTGGCTTTGAGTGATGGAAAATCTGTTTGTAGGCTAGGTAAAGCTGCGTGGTTCCATTTGCCTGTGGTGTGTGCCCTATTTTAGCATTTTTGCTACAGTACAGTTCCTTGGACTTGTGACCAGCAGATTTTTGTTGTATTAAATGACATGGAATCTGACCAGTCTTTTGAAGCCGTTATGTAAAGCTTATTTTAGGATTACAATAATTTTAGTTTTGTTGTTATTTTCCTTTGTTAGAAGTAACCTTTTCAACTTCTCTAGATTTTTAATGGATATTCACTTATTTAAAAGTGCTGAGATAGTGCTAAATACAAATAAAAAGGTCAACTATTGTCTTCCTGTTTTGGCAGTCATTTCCACTTTATTTTGGAAATTGCAATTGACTATACAGGGATTTCACCCATTTAAAATTTATGAAAATTATAAATGAGTGCTGAAAGAGATGGCTGAGATTTACTTACCAGTATTCTTTAATTTGGTATCCTTCCCTATGCCTTGCCAATTGGGAAAGAGATTTCCCACCATTGGATCAAAATGAATGTTCTCTGATTTCCCTGGAAGACAATTAAGAAGATCAGCTGCTCCACAGATTGAGAACTGACACTGCTTGGCCTGTGGCCTTACGGTCTTTATTTTAACCTGATTCCAGCTTGAGGAGATAAACGTGTACTTGGGTTGCTCGGGTAAATAGCACTAGCAATCCTACTGGCTGTATTTCAGATGCCACCATTTAGGAGAATGCTCTCAACAGATGCCTAGTGTACTGTTTAAACCACTTTAATCGAATAAAAGGGATTCATTAGAACAAGGCCTCTGTAAAATATGCTTAAAGTCCTAGGTAGCATCTGAGTGAATTATGACATGATGTCATACATCCTTCCCCCCCCCCAGCTGTGAAGCAAAAACACAGCTTCAGAGCTAGTCTCAGGATTCAGAAACATGCTACATAAGGGGGCCAAGATAGCCAAGTCACCTGATGGTCTCTGGCCTCCCCCCTCAAGGCCTTGTCAACCCCTAGCAGATAGTATTCCTAGTGTCAGGGTCTGAATCCTTCTACGGCAGGCAGTCTGCACTGTTGTTGGAGTGACCATGGTCCTCTCCAGTGCACAGATTGGCAGGACAATGCTAAACTCTCCATGCACAGATAAGTCTATTGGAGTGGAACCAAAGTTGTGCTCAAGCTCTGGTCATTCCTACTTGATTGTCCCATCAATGTCCAGGAGTTCCAGGATGCAGATTTTTGTGATCTGAGCATTAGGTTCCCTAGGAGACACTCAGACCCTTGAGGTGGTTCATGGGGTCTAGCATGAATGTAACTCCAGGAAGAGCAGGCTGAACACTGCTCACCCTCTTGCTGACAGCAATGGTGGCCCTCAGCTCCCCAACCTTTGAGTATTCTTAAACTTGACAGAAACTGAGAATATCAGTTTTGTGTGGCTCTGGACCTTTGCAGGAAAGAGTGCCATGCTTCCTGGGAACTGAAGAAGGGATCTGGGATGAGACAATGCTGAAAGCATTTAAGGGTCAGGTGCATCCTCACCAGTGGCTCCTCAGTGGCGCCCTCATGCACTTTCTGTCCTACTTCCTAGGGGCCGACTGCCCCCGGGAAACCTAGATACCGAATCCATTTGGCTTTGCATCCTGCACTTTGTTGAATAAGGTTGGAAGTGAGAGATGAGAAGAGTCTTCAGGGTGGTAATAAGAATCCTTGAACTATTTTCAGTATCCACCAAGTCACATGGAAATTATAAATTTACATGATAAAGCCAATGGACAGTTTAAGTGACTTGTTTTCTACCTCTGGCTGGAATTGTATCTTACTGTAGATCCAGGCTAGCTCATGCTAGCTAGAAATTCTGATTAGTAGAGTGATATGTTGTTTAAATGGTAAGAGTAGCTTGCTCTGCCTAAGTTGTGCAAACAGTGTTTATATTGGACACCTCTTTTCCTTTTGAGAATCTGGAATTTTAGAACATGCTGGGCATAGGGGTGCTTCTCTACTAGTCCCCAATAAAAACCTTGGGTAACAACTTCTGTAACAAGTTTCTTTGGTAGACCACTCTTTACATGTTCTTAGAACTCACTGCTGAAGAAGTTAATTACATCCTTTGTGACTTCATTCGGAGAGGACTTTTGGAAGCTTGCTTCTGTTTTCCTTCAGACTTTCCTAGATGTAAGAAATGGTGAGTGGTGGGTTTAAGTTGATCTCTTGAAAGCATTTATTTACAGTCAGATTTTAGAAAAGAAGAAGAAAAAGTTCTGTATTCAAATAAAACATCTGTTTGGGCTGTTGTATTCGCGGTCAGTTTGAGATTCCTGGTCAGTTGTTAGGTCTGGCTTCTTACGGCTTTGTAAAGGGCCATTATGTTACACTACTGTTCACAAATTGAGCCTGGGCCCTACATTTATACAATAAGGTTAATATTTACCATAAGCATGGGGTTCCTTGGCATCGTAATACTTCTCTAATACTTTTTACTATGATACTTGTACAGAAGGCCAAGTAAATTAAATCTATGCTAAGTTAGAAATTTTGCATTGAGGGTAGCTGGGGAAGAGTGAACAAAAACATATTTGTTCTCCATATAGTTGTATTATTATGAAATTGTTGACATTGCCCTTTTATTTAAGGACCCTTGCTCCATTAAAATTGCTTTGAAATATAAGGACAAAGTCACATGCACCATCAATGTGTGACAGATTATAACTAGCATTGATAGACTACTTAATATTTGCTTGTTACTCTCTCTAATTGCTTAATACTTTATAGCTATTATCATATGAGTTGCAATACTTATAGTTTGACCAGTTGAAAAAATTGACATAGAGAAATGTAGTAACTTTCCTGAGGTCGCCTATAGTAAGGTGCAGAACCAGGAGTCTCTTTCAAGTGGTACTGTCTTCCACACAGTGGCATGTGGGCAAACCAGCTCTCAGTGCCCATGATGTAAATATGAATACTTTCACCATGATCAATTTCAAGCAGTGTAACATCAACTGCCCGCAAATTAATAAAAATTCAGTCCTCACAAGCCAGAATGACGGGGCTGCAGCACACCACTGTTTCACAGCATGGTTTTAGCCTGGCTGTCCTAACGCTTTGCCACCCCTGGCACCCAAAGGGCACCAGATGGAAAGATCCTCTCACTTTCCTGGCAAGGATCCATGCCTCCGCAGAAGCTAATTATAAAGGACAGTGAAGATATTTTTTCCTCTTTATGATACACCTTGAAATAGTGATTATTGCTGTCTTTTTGGAACTGTAAGACAAAGGTATCTCCCAGTAAGGACGCCCATCCTCATCTTTCAGTTACGGCTTTAGTCTCAAATCAATACAGTATTAATTCGTTAGGAAGACTGGCAAGAGCTCCCCAGGCAGGCTGTCCACAACATTGTAGACGGATGTTGATTTCTCTCTTCCTGCCCGTGTGACTCTGCCAGGGAAGAAAGCAGAAACATCCCCTCTAGTAAGGCTCTGTACCCTTTCTCTGTTACTATTGTCCTAACTGTTGCATTTCATCTATTCCTTTTCTATTTCACGTGGAGTACACACAATCCAAAATTGAGAAGTGTTAAAATAAAATTACTTATCTTCAAATAAAAAAAAAAAATGGAAAATTGTTCAGGGGGCGCTTGGTGGCTCAGTCAGTTAAGCATCTGATTCTTGATTTTGGCTCAGATCATGGTCTCACGTTTGTGAGATCGCGCCTTCCATGGGGCTCTGCACTGATAGCATGGAGCCTGCTTGTTCTCTCTCTTCCTCTTTCCTACCCCTCCCCTGCCCCCTTGCACTCTCTCTCAAGATAAATACATAAACTTAAAAAATTAAAAAATAATTTCAAAAATTCCTCTATAATGAAACAGTATATCCAGTGTTTTCCTATTCCTAAGATTTTATATATTTCAAAATAACTATTTGTAAGGATAGTTTTTGATTACCCATGTTAATGGAAGGAAATATTTATATGAGTTAGTTAAAATAGGAAGATATTCCCTGCTCTCTTTCTTTATTGAATAGTTCTCATGAATGCAGCCACCCCTTTGCTTTCGTGCTGGGTAACAGTGCTACACCAGCCATGAGCAATTTACTAGGGTCTGTAGTAAGTAGTAAATGCAAGTAATAGAAAAAAGCCACAAACAGTGGCATGAAGTGGAGGTTGTAGAAGCAATGCTTAAAATCAAACATCTAAGTAAAAATAAACC